CCTGTTCCTTGGTCTCTGCTTACCCTCAGCACGTTTGTAGAGTCACTATTGTTACAATTTGTTTTCCAACGCATGGCAATACGTGCAACAGAATTTAAAAAAATGCTGCTCAGTGAATTAAACAAAGAAAAATGTGGCTATATCCCTATTTGAATTTGCTTATAACTATGGCGTGACAAAAGAATAATCATCAGTAATTTCGAGTAAAAAATGCCCCAACCTCTGTCTGAGTTAGGTTTTCTGACTTGAACACATTTGGCAAATTGTCATATTTTGTATGTAAAATACAAATCACCAACCTCACAAGTGAGACATTCCACTTAGAGGTATCTATAGTAATCCCCAACTCTGTGGCTCAGCCACAGCAGCTGTGAGAAATGGCCTTCAATCAGGTAACTACACTGGGTGGGATCAGGTGAATCCAGTTCCTCCTTGGATCCTTCTTGGATCTGGATTAGTCAGAGCCTGACTTGTTTAAATTGGTAAATGGAAATAGATCAATTTGTATTTAATTAGGAGTTTATCCGAGCAAATGCCTTCCGCAGGAATTGTTGGAATGCAGTTGTATGTGTTGGTATAAACATTTTCACTTCTAGAAACAAGAAGACAGGAAATCCCGGCATAGGGCAACAATGTTTCTAATGATTGTCTTCAGAAAACTTGGAGTAACCCGAATCCCGGCAGTTCCAGCTCTCAGCTTGTAACTGTAGCAACTTCAGAACAGGATGGTGTGCCCTGACAGTGGTGCAGGATTACAAAAAGCAAAAATTTGGTGTTTCAATCTTTGACATGTCCGTGCTGTTTTATTCTTGCCCCCACTTCATAGAGTGATTTCAGCTAGAAGAAGGCCTTGTACATCTCAAAACAACTGTACACAGATCCTCTTTCCCATTGAATCTCAAATCAGATGTGAATGAGGCAAAGCAATTATTAGGTTTGTTTTGCTTATGGTCAGAACTGCTGCTCACAGCTTTCCTTTTCATGGCTATTCTAGTTATGAACTTGCATAAACAGACTGTGCTTTGCATATTCCCCTGGATTCTCAGATGCAAACAGTCAGACTTGAGGACACTTTTCTTGCTCAGGGTGTCTTATTTATACTTTCCACGTCCCTTCCCAAGTACTAACTTGCCTGAAAGAGCTGAGGAGCTGGCAGGAGGTCAAAAATCCAGGTTACTTAGCTCCAGGAGGGCTGTGGACTGGCACTTCCAGAGGGGGCTGATTGTTCAGGAGGAGCAGTGCTTTTCAGGGGGAGCGACTGGAACACATAGACTGGTGCCTGGAAAACACTTGCAGTTTATCTGCTGTGTGTGAATTAGGGAATTGCAGCGGCATAAAATTTAAGGTTAGCAATTTTGAAGGCCTAAGAATATTGTTATTTAAATTAATGGGAACAGTGTGTCTGAAACCTCCAGATTACTTTGGAAATCTCAGTCTGAGACCTGTTTTTAGCACAGTGGATTCTCCTAAAATACAAAGGTTGCACTGTGGTCTTTGGAAACCATTACCAAGCTAAGGATTAGAGGAGCCTAGAAAAGCACATCTGGTGAGAAAATACAACAGCTTCTGGAGATTACTAGTAGGGACTATATTCCTTCTTTCATTGTTCTGGTCCCCAAAAGAACCTCTGTCAAGATAGATATGGGGCTGCACATCTGTGCTCCACACTTACATGGGCTATCCAGCATCAGTGATAATAACATCAGCTCTTACAGCAAACATTTTCAGCCCCTTCCAGGCAAGTACAGCAGCCTTGTCAGATCTCAGTGAAATCAAGCAAGATTCTATCTGAAGCTCAGTCAAAATCAGAGTAATGATCAGAGTAAATCTTTCAGTTCCCTCAAGACTGTAAACTGCAAAACTGGCATACAGCTGAGCTCTCATCATCTCCATGAGCAGTTCAGATTAGTTCAGTGAACTATATGTTCCCAAACTGACTGAACTGGGATGCTAATGTAATGCTTTTTCATAATTTTATGTTTGTTTATTATTATTATTATTATTATTACTATTTAATAAATGTGATCCTAAAAAGATATTCAAGGCAATAGTTTGGTGTCTGCTCCACTAGTTGTATATTTTCAGGTATTCCATTCATACTCATTAACCTATACTGAAAAAATATTCTGCCATCTCTGTGGTACCCTATACTTTTAAAAATATAAATCCACATCTTCATTTTCTAAGTCTGTGTTGTAGGCAAGTCCTTCTTCCCCAGTGCCTGGACTATAGTTCTGGGTTACTGGTCACAGTAACAGTGACCTTACTGGAGCAATAAAGTTCAGGAGCATCCTGCTGAAAATAGATCAGAACTTCTTAACTCTGTTGCAGAAACTGGAGCTCCCTTTCCTCATAATTCCTTACAACGTGGGACTCTGAGCAATCATGAGAAACATCGGAACAGGCTGTGAGATGCAGCAAGAAGAAAATGAAGAAGTTTCTTGATAAGTTTTCCTTTGGTCTCTGAGATAACCTTATCTTGTTGCTGTTGGATTCTGTCAAGGCTACAAAATAGGCAACTCCTACAGCACATTGTCACAGTTCTTCAGGTCCACTCTCAGCTCTGATGGTGCTCAGTTATAAGTAGATGTGATGCATTTTAATGGGTGCTTCTGGCATCTATCAATCTGAATTTGGACAAAAATCAGGACAAAACAGCATATTAGCTGCTACAAAATGCATTTGTTGGTCTTCAGCAACCTCCATGTCTGTTGCTTAGACTCCTCTGTGTTAGGTCTGAGCCTCTGCACTGTTCTTATGTACTCTGCAGTTGGCACCATAGGGCTGAGGTGCAGGAGGGATTGCACTGAGCCCCCACGCATGATGAGGTCTTCCCAACACAGGTGGAAAACAGTAATAAGAACTCTTGGAACAAGTACTCTTGTTCTACTGCAAAAATAGAAGGTAGAGTGGAATGAAGAGGTTGGATGTTAGTTTGGTTTTGAAATTGATTTTAAGACCCTTTTTCTACTGAAATGTGTTCTTCAAGTTGTGGTGTTTTCATTTGGTATCAGAAGAAAAAAACTTAAAGACAATAAAATGTAAATTATGTTCAGTTGGAATCTTTCCAAACTAGAGGCATCTTCTGGACTTAAGTAAAAAAGCAAGGTACCTCCATCTGAGATATAGAAACTGGTGGCTACTGACTTTTCTATTAACAGCACACTCTCACAACGACTTTGGAGCTGGAAGCCAGATGTGCTGTACCACTCTAGCACACAATTTCTCAATTCTGCTTCATGCATCCTAGAATGTGGGGATTACAGTGAAAGATCTTGCAGTTTTATTGAAGGCATGTAACTCCAGACATCTTCTAAGTTCTAATTTACATATATGCATTATGTTATCAGCATGTGGAAAGTCTCGAACAACTCATCAGGCTTGGGTTCTGAAGATCTCATCTGGCATTTATTAAGGTGAGGTTTTTTCCTGAGTTTTACTGAGCACTGTAAAACTCAGGTTTGGAACATGTGTGTACAGGAGAAAGACAGAGAGGGAGACACACACACACCTATCTCTGATTAGCATGATCTGATACAAGTATATAATAATGCACATACAAAGCCATGATTATGTAGTATATAAATATAAATCCTACAAGACAGTATAGATAAAATTAGAATAAGTTTATGCAGAAGTACCCTTATTCCTAGTGAAACTAATGATGAAGTGAGAAAACACTTTTGATGACATTTTTATATGACTAGACTAAAGCTTGTTAATTAATGGAGAAAAAAAAAATAAAATAAAGAACCTTTTCAGGATAAAATTATTCCTGACAAATAAGATGTATTTCCATACAACAATTGTCTTTGTGTGTCACACACTGTGGGAGAGATATACCAAGGAAGCCAGAAAGTCCTGCTCACCCTTTTCTCTCTAAACATATATGATTTGTTGCTCCTTGTTGTGTGGAAGAACAGAAGCTGCATCAGTGTGCAGCCCACTTACATCATCGTGCATACAGCTGCATCTCGCCAAGGCTTGTACAGTGCTTTCAAAGGGAGTAGTAAATCCTAAATAGAATTCTATGATTGCTTTATGCAGGAAGTTGGGTGAGATAAAGAGAATGACCCGTTCCATCTTTAAAAAACAAACTCTGGGAATCCAAATTTCTCAATTTCTAAAATAAAAGGGGACTGCACAAAAAAGGGAAGGGACTTCTTAGAATCATGCAACAGGTCTGCAAAAGGTAGGTGAGTAAAACCTCATTGCCATGATTCCTGCCTGACAATCTTGCATCTTGTTGCATTCAAAGCAAAAAATGATGGCACCTTTTCACTGTGAAAACAATTGCCTTTACACAAGCTTATACTGCCATATTTCTTATTTTCTTTAGAAATCTTCAGAGGTTTCCATCATTTTAACTGATTAAGCACAGTTCTGTATAATTCTGGTTATTCTTTTTATATTATATGATCAAAACAATTGTATCCTTACAGGATTATTGCAATTGAAAAAGCATAATGCTTTTGACTATACCCTCCACTTTTGGCCTCATTGTGGCATTTTCTATATCATGAGACAACCAAGAGAATAATTAATTACACTGTACTTTCTTAGGAATTTCCATGCAATAATCTCAATCCAAGGTAGAGAAAATGAAATTCTGATTAGGAATATAGAGTTCAGCTTAGTGATAGAGCCATAACTTGAGACAATATATGGAGCATGGATTTGATCTAAAGTTCACTGACACTTGCTCTTGTGTTAGGTGGGTAGTTGCAAGTGACTCAAACTGGCATAAGTTTTGTGCACCATTTGGGTCCCATGGTATAATTTATCTCTTGCAAGAGGTACATAAGAAAACAAAGGGAAAAACGAACATGGTCCCTGTAAGGGCTGAGTCATTTGGCAGTATACTCTTGAACCAAACATCTTGCTTACATGAGCAGTTTTGTATTTTTCTACAGACACTATATCTATCTTATCTCAGCTGACATACAGGTTATCCAAAATATACTGTACCCTTACCCAGCCAGAAATATCATTTTGCTTACCATTCACACCTACAGAGCTGAAAAACAATCTTGGGTCTTCATAGCACATTCCAGCTTTGCTGCTTTTGCAGTAGGAACTTTCTTTTTCCACTCCAGCTTTAGCTTGCCTATATAACATAGGCATTGTGCCCTGCAAGTAGAGAACAAAACAAACTTTGAGGTTCCTTTAAACTAACACAACCATTTCATCCTTCTAGCACATGCCTGTGCATAGATTCCCATTCTGCAACTGATATTTATTGATCTAGATTCATACGATCCAAGAAAAGCTTGACTACATTGCCTTGCGGTAAAATTATAAGGGGAAAAATTGGAATGTGGGGGAGAAGGGAGGAGGAAAGCCAAGCTTTTATAACTCTTTGTAAACCTGGTTTATGTGAGCCTGGCCAACCCAGGGTCTAAATGATCTGTTACACTCAAGAAGTGGATGTGAAAGGCAGCACTGTTGCTCAGCTGCTGGTGCCCCACAGAATCAAAACATTTCTGCTGAGCTACAATTTAAATGGTCATACTCCAACTAATTATGGGAAGCAGCCCCTATGAGGAAGTATGCTTTCCTTCTCAAAGCACTTTACCTTCAGCAAGTAAACAGTCCTAAGTGTAATATTAAAAGCACTAAAGTTTATACGCATTTTTATTTTGTGCTAATAGAGCAATTAAAAACACATGCCATCTCAAATTTGCATTTTTATTCTAAAGAGGTTTCAACGTTTTCCTGGAGATTCAGGTCTATTTGCACATCACTACCTGTATCTAAATACAGATATCTCAAGCCTTCATGCTTTAATTAACACAATATTTAATTATTTTAATTATTACATTTTAATTAAAAATAATTAATTTTTTATAATTAACTATTAATTAACTATTGCTGTAGCTCTGGCACAAGGCTCCAAGGAACCAGCTGGATGTAGTCCAGCCTCTCAGTCCTCCTGCTGCCACCTGCTCCTCTGCCCACCCCTGACATATCTTCTGCACTTATCTTTACAAACTGTGGAAACAAGCTAGCTTGTTTTAGGGATTAATCCAACCTTATTTATATTCTAAACCTTAGATCTAACCTTATTTAGATTCCCTAAAACACAAAACCACATTTAGATCCAGCTCCGCCTTTAAACTTTCCGTCTCCTTCCTCCTCCATTCCTACAGAATGTAGTTGCTTATATGTCTGGCAGAAAACAAAGCCATCCTGTTAGAGACTCATAGACTTTCTAACAGTGTTAAATAAACCAAGAGAGACTAAGGAGACTCATGCTTGCCATCAGGTAAAATGTCCAAAGAAATACTCACAACTGTGAGAAACTTGTATGGTGGAAGACAGAAAGACAGAACATTTACTCCTTTCTAATGACTCCATGCAAAGAATTGCCAAGCACCACATGAATCAGGGCTGCATTTTTCAAAAGATACATCCGCTCAAAGAGAAGATTTTTCAAGGTCTTCAGCTACTATTCATCACACTTTATATACATTCAGATTCCTAGAAAAACTCAAGAAGCTTTTTATCTTATGTAATTACACATAGAAGTGCTTGGTCCCTGAAAATCCAACATAATTTCTGGATGCATAAGCTTTAAAATTCTGAGAATTCTTTCAGTAATGTGCTCAAAGGCTAAAAACAAATTTTAAATGACAAGGACCCTCACACGTTTTTCTGCAGAGAATTTATCTATCATAACAAGAATGTCCATAGGTCTGTTGAAAAAAAAAATTAACAAGACTTAATCCAAGATTTTTTTTCCAAATTCCATGTATTTTATTATGATAGGCTTTAGTCTGGGGCTTAAAATTAAGGATGCCCTCCTTCTTGGACCATTCTGTGTTCAAATCAGTGATACAGGATACAGTAGAACAAGAAGACCAGATACACTGTGAGGATAGTTAACAACTGCAGCAAACTTCTGAGTTCACAAATGGATTTTTCATGTCTCAAGTTCTTCATCTGAACACTTGCACATTGCAGACTGGAAGGTGTGCTTTAGTAAATCTATTAGGTTCTTGGTCTTAATCCTTAAATAACCGGATGCGATTCTCTGGCCTGTTACACCAACAGTCAGGCTTGAAGACCTAACGGTCCCTCCTGGCCTTAAAGTCTGTGAATCTAGAATTTCACACTACTATAAAACTTATGTAAGGGAAAGGAGAATTGAGGCCAAAGAATTACAAAGAGTATTTATAAGCCTGCTACAGTCATCACTAATGTACACATAATTGGCAAGGAATTTACATCAGAGGCCAGTGGTAACACATGCATTTATTGAAGGCTTGCACGTTTCATTATAAGTGAATTACTGAGCATATCTAAGCCATTTATTGTGAACCGTGACAAACCCTAAAATAAAGTAAACACATGTGCAGAAGTTATTGATGTGGTATGGCTGTTCTGATATTTAAAAGCATTATAAATGATTTGCAAGGCATTTAATAAAAGTGACCTACATTTATATAGCCCCTTTTATCCTGAGATATCCCAAAAATTCTGCGCAAACTGTATAGCTTGCCATTGCATTCCTCCGGTTTGCCACCACAGTCACTCTTCTGAAGCCAGTTGAGCCAGAAGGCCATCATGTTCAAGTAAGAAATTGCCTACACTGGTCTTGCATATGTAAATGGTGAAGCAAAGGGGAAGTAAGTAGCAGAAAGACCTTTCTAACAAGACCTCAAACCAAGTACTAACATTCCTTTTTAAAACTTTCTGTGAAAACAAAGCATCACTGCTGCTGTAGAGATCTGATAATGCAAATGGAACACCAATCTTCTCCATTTATTTCAGCTCTCTAAAGCCAGTCTCCTCTCATTCACATCAAGTAAAATCCTAACAGAGATCATAGAATCATAAAAGAGCCTGTGTTGAAAGAGACCACAGTGATCATCTAGTTTCAATCCCCCTGCTATGTGCAGGGTCACCAACCACCAGACCAGGCTGCCCAGAGTCACATCCAGCCTGGCCTTGAATGACTCCAGGGATGGGGCATCCACAATCTCCTTGGGCAACCTGTTCCAGTACTTCACCACCCACTGTGTGAAAAAAATTCCTCCTACTATCTAACCTAAACCTCCCCTGTCTCAATTTAAAACCATTCCCCCTTGTCCTATCACTATCCACCCTTGTAAACAGCCGTTCCCCCTCCTGGTTATGAGCTCCCTTCAAGTATTGGAAGGCCTGTGATCAAATTTTCAGAGGCACAGATTGTGGAATGTCAGTGTTACTGTTTTTTTTTCAAACTGCTCATTTCTTAGACCTCTTTGGATCACAGTTAGGCTAACCATTTCACTGCTGTGGCCAGAAGGGCTGCAGTGTCTGACAGGTGGTAAGGACAAACAGCTGGTGGATATAGGCAGGCCTGGCGTGTACAGTCACAGGAACCCATTATGTTCAGCTGTGAATAGATTTGCAAAATGGAGCTCCAGCCTCAAGAACATGCTAAACGCTAGTGACAAATCACTGAGAGATTCAGGATATTTTTGGATAAACACTTCCTCCAGTGCCAAAGAAAACTGAAGTAGCTCTTCCCTTCCCTGCACCTTTAAAACCATTTAACTTTTGCTATCCATTGGTAATTAGATTGCTGAAAAGTGTTGGATTAAGATAAAAACTTCCACCATGTTTTGATTCTAGTTTATGGAGTGACTCAACAAACTGATACAACTGAGAGGCTGGACCATGACAGCACAGGAAGAGAAAGTCGAGCTAGAAGGAAGGGGAGGCAGGATGGGGGAGGATACCTGACCTATGTAATTATAACAATGGCAAATTCACACTCTTTAGCTTTGATACATTGTTTGACATCATACTTTATTAGTGTCTTCCTGTCTAAAGGCACTCATGGGGAATTTTCCAATGCAGCTGATGGCATTTGAACCAGGTCCTAACAGTATACATCATGGTATATGAACTGTACCTCTTTTTCTACATGATTTTTTAAAAGAAAGAAAGCTGTTTAGAAAACATTTAAACTCTGCAGAGCAGAGACCTATCCAACCACTGCTATTTTTATTGTCATATGTTGTGCTACTTATACCTTTAAATTTCAATTTTTATTTTTATCTCTCAAATTTGTACTGCTATCCACAGATTTATTGTACAGATCCATGTGAGCTCACTGCTGCCTCACACAGACTACGAAATCTCAAACACTTGTTTAGACTATGAGCTTGTTTATTCTGGTCTACAATGACTAAATACACTCTCTGAAGCTAATGTGATTAACTTGGCCAAGCTGATTAGGAAAGAAGAATGTCAAGAATTCCTTGTCCAGATGTAGCCTGAGCAGCTCAGAACTTTCTCCAGCAGCAGCACAGTTCTCAAGCTCCACCTAACTTCATATAGGTGGAGAAACTTCCAACATATAAAATTAAGGATGCAGAAAGGGGTGAGAGAAGGCAAAGATTGCCTTAGACATGTTCACACTTAATGGAATTAATGTTTACTGATTCAATGAAAGCTAAAGAGGCAGCCACATCATTTAATGTGTTAAACTTACAGACCTTTGACTCTTTTATGGTTAATTAGCCTTTAGCTTAAGAAAGCCCCAGGTCATAGAACTTCCATCAGCTCTGAATTCAAAGCTTTGCCCTCTCTCACCCTGGCAGTTTACAATGTAATGATGATTGATAGCCAGATGAAAGCATTAGCTGAGGCCTGTCTTTTTTGCATTGTGTTGGGAAAGAAGTGTAATGATCAATAGCTGCAATGGTTTCAGAAAACATTTAGGTTGACTGTGACCTTAATTACCCACTTAAGCAGGCTTTGGTCAAATTGATTTTATACTGTGTTATGGTGCAGCAGGTTAAAAATTAACCCTACAATCTAAGATGCATTTTACAAGGGTTCTCTCCGCCTTGTTACCTAAAAAGCCCCTTGTCAGTACTATCTCATGCTGACATTCATGAACTTAAGTGTCAGATTTCTACTATAAGAAGATATTGGGCCACACACTTACCTGCTACCAAAGTTCTACTCAAACGTCCAAAGACTTTCTAATATTTGGCTAGTGAGCAGAATGTGAGCTAGATTTCCAACCAAACTAAAGCTTTTTTGCTTAGACCCAGGAATCACAGGCAGCTTTAAAATGCCCCAGGCAAGCAGTAGTAGATGCTGTTGTGATGGAAAACCTGGGCACAGGAGCA